GGGGGGGGTATTTTTTATAGGAGAGAACTAAGATTTCATAAAAATACATTTAATAAAAATGCAATATTTTACTAGTTTACATTACTGCATTATTATCACTGCAGAATCCACGTTCTTGAGTTTTCTAAATTTATGAACAGCTATTATGACTTTTTGACCCTGTTCCCCCTCTGAAATTTTGCCTTGTTTGCATCTCCTGATCTGGAGGGGGGATTTTTTTTTTTCCTATCTTGTTTTTGGTTTTTTTTTAGGTGTCCTATTTTTAGCTCTTTGATACTCTTACAAATTCATAGTGAAACCAGTAGCAAATTATTGGGAACATCTCAGAAAATCTTTCTTACTAGAATGTCAAATTTCTTTGGCTGTTTTTGAATAATCCTATAAATGTAATGGTTAGCCTCGTGCCTTTGTGCTGTAGTGCAACAGATAGAAACTAGGTTGATACACATAATTTCATACTTGTGCACACATCACATTAGACTTGCAGTGCATGCCTTGACATGAAAGTCTAACTCTTTATTTGTGTCTACCTTATGTCCTTTGCTCATTTCCATCATGTCTGTCCTGAGTCTGTAGCACAGAGCTCTCCATAGGGAACCAGAGCTTAAACGGAAAGTAGGAGTGGAGGACAGAAGACAGCAGACACATTTAATTAGCTGTCACAGTTAAATCCTGAATCTACACTTAAGATTTACAACTCAATGTAAATCTAAAAATAACACAGCAACCTTTAAAACAGAGATGTATACCCTCAATGCTGCTCTGGCTTTGCTTTGCTTGGCCTTTTTTCTTATGTTATGCTTGCTTCTTTCCCTTTTTTTTCTTGCATCAATGAATGATTACTAACACAGACTGGATGAAGAACTGACAGAAAGTGAATCAGCCAAGTAAGAAAATGTCTTGTGCCAATGTATATAACTGTTATCCATGTATTTATATGAAAACTAGTGCAAAAGAAATAGCGATGCTACATATTACAACCAGTCAGCTGTCACATTTTAATTCTGCATATGTTTGTACAAAAAAAGCTTTCCATTGGTGCTTGACACGTTGCTCAGCAGCATTACCATCCCACCTATTGCTGCCTGCCTGCTCTCTAATATACCTTTTTCCTTTCTTGCTGCTCCTCCCAAACTTTGTTATTTCAGACACTTAGGAGTCTATTTATAATTATTTCCATAGCTATGCATCCAGCTAAACTGCATGCACATTCATACCGTGCAAGTCGACCAGCTGTAATGAGAATGGGGCAAACACTAATGTTTTTTATGGTATTTTCTTTTCTGGTTGAATGTTCATAGAAGAATGAAAATAACATAAATCAGCAGGCTTTTACCCTCACTTGTAAATTAAATGAGCACTAGTATATTTCGAATCGTACTGTCAATTGCGATAACACCGGTATTACTGTTTTGCAAGTAGATACATTTGACACAGAAGTGCTGTAAATAATAATCCCATAGACTGGTGCTGATGATTGCATCTGGCAGATAGAAACAATGTTGTAAACAGAAAAAATAAATATGCCCACTGCTCTGATAATCTGCTCTCCTGACTCTCATGTTATTGGAATAGACAGCACTATTTATAAAATACTAGTGCAAATTTCATCTGCAAGTGAGATCAAACGCCAACTGATTTGCCCTATTTATACCATATAGAGAAAATACTCTAGGAACATTCAATTTTGTCCAATTCTAACAACAGCTTATTAACTTGCACTGAGAAAATGTACATGCAGTTTTTCTAGACGATCCCTTATGCCAAGTTTTTTAAATAGACCCCTATGGGATGATATATATGATTCACACACCATACTCACCACTAGATGGTGCCGCGAAGCATAGGATTTCCTATGCTTCTTGACTCCATCTACTTGCGAGAAAGCGGGGCGAATGGCATTCGGTCAACATGTGGCTGGGTGGATGATTCATAAATCATGCCCCAAACGTTAGCTATTAAAAATAATGCTTCATTAAACAAATCAGAAAGATTTATGCTACATGGGTGATTTTTAGCCACTCAACACCACAGCTAAAATTGTCCACAAGTGCTAAGGTATAGCACAACTAGATCCCCTACAGAAAGCAATATGATAGGGTGTATCAAGGATTAATCACACACAATTGCAAAACTGCTTGATCATGCTTACTTTAATCCAGATACATACTTACATGTAAATTGTATCATACAATTTGGGATTTTCAATACAATAAATACCACCTCACAGAGTGCTGTGGGTCACTGTCCATATAATATAGTATGAAGCCACCCGCACAGATAGGCAAGTAGTTGAGAATCTGTCCAGTCCAGGTTGGATCTCAGTATAGGTGAACTGACTTAGTTATCGCTATTCATGAGTACTAGAATACTTATAAGAATCTAATGCCTTATTTTTTGTTTTCCAAAAGCCTGTGTATTTAGAATCATAAGTTGAATAAGGTAAAAAAAATAACCATATTTACAACTGCATGAAAGTTTTTGGCTTTCATTGTGGCTGCCAGTGCCAATAACTAACTGCTTTGCCATCATTAGTAATTCATCTGGCAAATGTTACTGAACCCTTTAACACTCCCTGTCTAGCTGATGACTAGTGCTCTGGCTATCCTGTAGTGGTAAATCCTCCACCCTGTTACCAGCTGTTCCAAGTCATTTAATTGTCAGTGCGATGCATTACCATTTTCCAGACATTGTACTCCTGCTGTGTATTGTATGATATTTTCCAGTATGACTTCATGTGTGCTAAACTCTTGCTTCTTAAAATCTGTGCCTGTGCATCTTTATTCCATTTTAAACATATAACTTCAGCATGGGGATGATAAGTTCTAACTGTAAGAAAAAAAAAAACAGACCTAACAGTGATTAGATCATTGTGAATTACTTCATTGCATTTTCTCTACAAGAGACTAATGTGTAAGTAATTCTCAAACATCCTTTAGTGCCCATTTACACCGGGTGTTTAATCGCGCGATTTCCGCTGCGTTCTCGTGAGAAGTCGCCGTCCATAGATTTTCAATGGAGCTGTTCTATTGAACAGCTCCATGTCGCTCGTCACATGTCGCTTGTGCGGGAGCCTTTTTCCCACGGATGTCGCACAATTTTTCTATTTTTGCATGCAGCCCGATGGTGAAGGTTGCGCGATCGTCGCTGGAACGTCGCCCCGAACAGTCGCGCTATCCCGGCCACGCGGATCCGCTCGAGGTAAGTGTTGCTTAGTGTGAATGGGGCGTAATGGTTACAACAAAGACTCTGTAGCAGTGTTTCAGTCAGTTTCTAACCGCTTAGAAATGCCTGCTGGTTGTTTACATTAGACGCCAGGTATCCTGCTAGGATCTGCTCTCATAGAAAATAGCTGATATTTCTGTGCCTTTGTTGTGAGCTGTGAAAATGATTGTCTCCACGGTGTCTATAGCCACAGAGGTGACTGCAGACTTGTTTTAAAGTGCTTTTACTGCTCCTCCAGAAAATGTAGATATTTTATTGTACATAGGGTGGACACGGGTTCACCACAGGCATCTAAAGTGACCCAAGTATCTGGAAAATGAACTGGTCAAATCTTTACTGTAATGTAAAACAGTGGCGTAGTGGTTATCACTTCTGCCTTGCAGCACTGGGGGTCCCTGGTCAGGACACTATCTGTAAGGAGTTTGCATGTTCTCCCTGTGCTTGCGCGGGTTTCCTCTGGGTACCCCGTTTTCCTCCCACACTCCAAAGACACGCTGGAAGGTTAATTGGCTCCTGTCTAAATGGGCCCTGTGTGCATGTGAGATAGGGACCTTGGATTGTAAGCTCCTTGAGTGCAGGGTGTAAATTGTCGGCGCTATATAAATACCTGTAATAGGCATACTACCTGCTAAAGTAGTATTAGCAGGTTTCAATTTTACAGCAATTCTTTTACAGCTATCACATTTATTATCTAAGTATGCCATGTAATGCATATCTTTAAAGAGACAATCCTATCTATTGCCCTTCCTTGTCATGGGTTCTATCTCCCACCCACCCACTCTGAAATTGTGGGGGATCCTGCCCTCCTCGGAGCACAGAGATCTTGCCACCATAGTCCAAGAGATGTAGAAAATACTCTAAATCTTGCCATACATGGAGCAAATTTTCCTCTGGATCTTGATGAACCATATGAAATTTGCTTAATCGATGTCCCTGTTAACAGCCCCCTGCCTGACATCCTTAGATCTAAAAAGTGAAGGAGCTAGGTGGAAAATTCTCGGCTGAACAGTGACTGCAGTCACTGCTTGGTTCTGACAGTAACACAGCCACCGCTGTCGGAATACAATAGCCCAGCAGGGCAGGGAGATTCAACATTGACCAATGTGACTCTACTGCAACTTTCTGTAGTACCAAAGACTCAAATAAAATTAAACCATTTAAAGGAAAAAGACTGAATTCAATATTCTTTGTATAGTTTGCTCACCAAAACCATGCATATTATAGAATATGATGTTTATAGTAACTAAACATATATGTCATAAAACATCAGTAGTTTGTATCTCCAGCGCCACCCACAAAGCCACAATGATAGTGTCACTCAGTACTCCCTAGGATTTTCCTGTTTTTCCCGAGAACCCATGGCAGGAGAACAAAACCATTTTTTAGTATTCAAACGACCCTTCAGAACTAAGATTTTTTTCAGCTGGTAATCTCAACACTGTAGTTCCTGTGATTGAATATTAACTTCAAGTGATAATTCATTATCATTCCCAATACTCTCAGTTTACTTTGCAAATAAATACCAGCATAATAAAAATTTTAAAGTGATGCTTCATGTGGGCACCTAACGTTTACACATGAGCTTCTAAATCTTGTTAGTTAAAACTAATGAGAGATATGCATCCATATGTTTCAATAGGAAAATCATAAAGGCATACTGTATGTATTATGAATAGTTTATTTGTAGGCTGATCAGAAACACAAAGCAAAATCCAAGCTCCAGGACCAAATATGAATGGCATCCTTATGCAGTAATGGAAGTGTCACACCTCTGCTTATTATAATTTTTTCCAGTGTAAAGTATTTCATTCCATTTCAGCATGTTATTTATTTTCATTTTCAATGACAACTGAAGCTGTTTCTAGTCACTATTAAGCTAAACGTAAGTAGTAAGGGTTTACCATTTTTTTTTCTGCTTTTTTTATTTTCCTTTTTTTGTTAAAGATTTTCTTTTTCTAATACAAATAGCAGAACAAAAAAGAATTGAGTATCATAGTAAAGACATGCCATGTTGTACAGAAAATGTGGCATTGATTTTCATATATCTCAGACACATGGGTGACCCTAGGATTTTGCACTGGGTTTCTCTCCAGGATTTGTTGATCAGAACAGATCTCACTTTGTTATATCCTTGTAGCACCTGGGAGGTATAATCTAATAGTTTTGAAAACTCCCTATTTGCTTTTTGTGTTTGTATTACCATATCTGTTTGGGTCTTAGGTTTCAGCAATTCATTGCATTTTATTTGTGATATCTCATGTACATTCTCATCCAATAATTCTCTTGGATACCCTCCACTCAACTGCAATTTCTACATAGTCTTCTGTATTGGCTCTTAAGAACATTGAAAAAGCAGCTGTTCATATGGCCGCTTTCTGCCAAATAAAACTGTTCACACCAGCTTCAAATTGCTATGTCTAACTTTGGGACTACACTTGAAAAAAAAAACGGCCAGCGCAGACCCAGCACAAGACTAGACAATTTGCCTTGTCATGGATGAACACTATTGACAACACTGTATTCAGTGAAAAGCCATGGTGTGCGCTGGAAAAAAAGTATGGCATGCAGTACAACCACCTCGCACCCAGCTGTGCTTGTAGAACTGAATGAAACACACTTGTCACTGTACACAAATCTGGTTTCTATGACTGTCCCAGTGGTT